TTGACATTTGCCTTATTTATGAATTCCCTTCTTTATTTTTATTTGTTTATTTCTTTTCTACTTCCAATTCGCATTTCGGTCAACTTGTTGATGCATTATTCTTACATATCTCGCAAGCCTCTCCTAATCGATCCTCCTCCTGCTGCTCTATTGCGGACTACTACCGCTAGATGCTCAGTAGTATAAAGCTATCTCTGGAGGTGTCTCATACTATTACAAAGTAAGTTAACAGCAATCGCCGCTAGGTTGGTCATTGAGAGATCGCTGCGCCTTTTTTTATGGAGCTGAGCGTATTTACGATATAGATCCAAGATTTACTGCCATCCGAGTTGAGATACATATGAAGCCTTCCATCTGGATTCCACTTATCAATCTACATCATCCCGAGATCTATAGTAAGATCTTGTGGAGCAGATCTATCTTATCATACCTAATATGGCAATTCTCTAGCAAAAGGAACGATGGTGCATATACTTATACTTATACCAAGCTCTTGGCCTGCAAACCTTCTTCGGGGACTAAACCCTACCTATGCCCTACTTTCAATCTAAAGCCTTGATACTATAAAACCTAGAGAGGCTAAATAGTGGCCTTATGAGATCCATTTTAAGGTAAAATGCTGGGGTTGAGTTACCGCGACAGCTGTGTGGGATGTAGGTGCAGAGGTGTGAAAGCAAGCCTGGTACACTCGGGTCATTTGAACCTTACTAACCCCCCTTTTCTTTTAATAGTCGTGAAAGAATTGCTAACATTTGTGGCTATGAATAGGACTTTTCGCGAAGACTCAATTTTGTGTTGCTAGTATCTTGGGCGGATTTGAAGATATGCAGAATGATTATGAAGCTAGTATGACCCGTCGAGACAGCTCCTTGAAGGCAAAAAGGCTTGGGCTCGGCATGGGCTAGTCAAGAAGTATTTCGAGGCTTGTGATTCAAGTTTATCCTCCAAGAATTGGCGGTCTAGGCGATATTGCTCCATATATTACCTGCTTTACTGATATTTTAACGATAGAACGACCGAATCGACCGTTCCGTCTTCCGAAGCCAAGAAGTAAAACACATCTTCTCCGATCCCATATACCGGCAGTAGCCCAAACTCTCTTGACTCAGGCCCGGGGACCCTAAGTTGCGCCGGTCCCTCATTGCATCTCGCTCCTTTTACGCACTTACGAATGTCCTAGGCTATGCCCACTAGAAAGAGAGAAACGATATGGTATATTTATAGCGCGAAACTCTTTCCTACCTTCATCAATGACTGATCGACTTTCAGTCTTGTTAGCATTCGCGCCAGAGGTGTCTTGAGATCGCCCTAAATAGGTGCGCACAAAATGGTGTCCGGCAGATCGGCTCAAGGCTATAGTGGATCCTAAAAAACCTAACAACCCGGTATTCTATCCATCTATATTTCTCACTAATATTAGTCTAGTGATCAGAGTTTAAGGCGTGATCCCTATTAGCGTTCTTTGCGTTCGTCTCCCCTCTCTGTTTGCTCAATCTTTAACCGAGAAGCTTAACGCCTGAGCTTCTGACCCGTGGGCTCGTTCCCAAGTTATCAACCTATGCTAGCTAATTCGATGGTACCATTCGTCTTGTGGGTCTCCATTATCCGTACGATCTCCCGGCATCGCGATCCGCAACGGCGGCTCTTACCCGCGAGGCGCTACCTAGGTGATATAGCAGAACCATTTCTGTTTGAGGTCTAGCTACTAACGCTTAACTCTCCTTTGACGGGGTTTCGGGAAGCTAGAACACCGGCGATACTCAACCCAAGACGATAACTAAGCGGTTCCATATCATATTGGGCTGATATAGGACATTATTTTCAGGGACTAGCAAGAACTACTGCGACCCCGTCTATCGTTTCCATGAGATCCTATTCGGCCGTGTGCTTGTTGGAGCAACTTGCCTGCCGAATATCTAGGAACTTGAATCTAGGAACATATATTAAGTTTAGTATTGCAGTTCCCCCAACCTTATGGCAACTGAATTCGTCCACAATCCGTTTAGTAGACATGACGCGTGATGAGGTTCGCGTGAGGTTGTCCTAAGGGGCGTATGAGCTCAATTACTTGAGTCCTTCGCGAACGCATTCTTGCAAATTTTCGCTATCTGTAGTCAAGAGGAGGAACATGTAATTTTTCCTCTTATCTCCAACACCTGGTTGCCTCGTGTCATATTGTTGAGCACCCAATTTTACAACGAATGAGCCGCGTTAGCCTCGACATAGTAAAAGCCCACATAACCTGCATCGGCGAAGAAGCATTACATCTAATCCATACCAATTTTTACACGTCTCAACTACTCCAGTCCCCCTTTATCCATTGATAGCCACCCAGGCTCTTGCACGTTGCCTTTAGAGTCTGCTACTTAGCAGGAATTTTATTGTACATGGGACAATGGTTTGTTGTGTAGATGGTCGGCCAGATCATATTGACCATACCCTAATTTTTTTTTTTTCAGTTTACCCCTCCAATTCCAGGGGCTGGATGGCACCACAGCAACCCCGCGGATACCGGTCCTAGGGACCCCTCACCGCCCTGTTTCCGAGGGAGTGAGGATGAGACAACTTGCTATGTATTCCAATTGCAAACCAGTTATAGCTGCAAGCATCTCGAGTATACTCTGAACAAGGTCGGTCGCCTTGACCGCTTGAACACATTGAGCTTACCACTGCCTGTTTAGACTCCCATGAATGCCGTAGTTGTGTGCGCTTCGAGCAAGACGTAAAATTCCACACGTGGTAGTCCGGGGTAGAAAAAAGCATCTCGTTTGAACCACTCCAGCTCCCTATTGTATGAACTTCTCTAGCAACAGAATGAAAACAGTCCCAGTTTATAATTTATTATTTCCTTGGGGACTTTATATTAATCAGCGGTGGTATACTTCACACCGCTCGTGCTGTGGATGAGTCTAATGCATCGACGTTGCATTGTATGTTTGCAATGGTTCCAAATTGTAGGGATTCTGACGAATTAGATACGAGCCTGTCTACAATCTTTCTTGTACCCGACCACGATAAAATTATATATGTGTCTTCATAAATCCTTTTCATGCAATCAAAGCGTTCTTCATGGGGCTTTACTACGTATAGTCGCACGTTGGCTGCTTGGAGCGCCAAGTTTTGATGCGACAGGAGCCAGCCTTGACATGTCTGTGCCATGCCCATGCAGATTCGCAAGCGCACATGGCACGACCCTGGTTCCCGTAGATATAGAAAGCCCAAGAGGTTGGAATATTTATAAGTAGAACAATAGCTACCGATTTCACTTGAAAGACCAGTTCTCTAGCCGTCAATTAAATCTGAAGCGTTGTGCATATAACCATTCAACTCGGGTCACAACTTAACATAATTCAAACAATCCCTATTCAATCATTATTCAACACAAAGAGGCTCACGATGGCGACTGAGCTGAAGCACAACCTCAAGTACCATCCCGAATTCGGGGCGTTCTGGGAGAAGCTTGTCGCCGCTGGCGCAGCTGCAGGACCTGCAGAGCCATCGCTAGAAGAATTACGTGAAGGCAATGACACCTTTATGCGTACTATGTTCGCTCAGTTCGAACCGGTACCCTCTGTCGTTAGGACCAAGTACACAACCAAGTCGCACGATGGTGCTGAAATCGATGTCTACCGGTATGCCACCGACGAACACAACTCCAGCAAAACACCACTACCAGCTGTCTTACACATACACGGCGGTGGTATGATGGGCGGAAGCGTCGACATCTTCGCGCGTTACATAAACAACTTAGTCGACAAGACTGGTATCCAGTTCTTTGCTGTCGAATACCGCCTCGCCCCCGAGCACCCCGACCCTACCCCTGTCGAAGATAGCTACGCGGCCTTGAAATGGATCTACGAGCACGCTGCCGAATTCAACGTCGACCCCACACGGCTCGGTGTTATGGGAGACAGCGCAGGTGCCGGCCTTTCCGCAGGTGTATCGCTACTAGCCCGCGACCGTAACTTACAACCCCCGATTAAGAAGCAAATCCTCGTCTACCCTATGCTCGACGACCGAACCATCTTCGCCTACGACGCACCCGATTATAAGAGCCCACTGAAGGACCTCGTGATCCTCCACACAAATACCCTCGTCCGCTGCTGGCGGTGGCTCCTCGGCGATAAGGCAGGCAAGCCCGACGCCGACGTAAGCATCTACGCAGCACCGGCGCGAGCGAAGGACCTCAGCGGGCTGCCAGCCGCGTACATCGAGGTCGGCAACCTCGATTGGTTCAGGGACGAGTCGATGGACTACGCCAAGCGATTGTCGGACGCACACACAGAAGTCGAGCTGCACATCCACCCAGGTATGCCTCACGGATTCGAGGTTGCTGGACCCATCAGCACAGCCAAGAAGGGCGTGGACTTACGAGTCGATGCCATCAAGGCGCTTGCTCATTAGGATATATTCCTAGATAAAAAAGAAAAAGTTTCACTCGAGTAAAACCCACATCTCGAGATAATAAAGAGTCTATTGTTAACTCTCACCAACTTTGGGGTTGTTTCCTACCAAGGACGTTCCTATTTTACGTGCTTGACGATAAAGTGATGTTGTAACACTGCGCCTACTGTGTAATACCTATCGTAGCCAACAACTTAAACCAATGGCTTCGTAGACACCGTAGTGTTTGTGAAACCCAAGTAAAAAATACGCCGCTTCGACTCCACTCGTGATCCCTCACTGCCTGGGTCGCCACGTGGACACCTTGCTTCCAAGTTCAAGAAACGTGTTTGTCCCACGCCGATAGGTATGTCAACCATAAAATCCACAAGCCCCGTAATATATAAAAGTAGGGGCAAAGAAAGCATGATGCACGTAAAAACTAGTTTGCCGTGGCGTCGCTTGATCGAAGCAGAAATAAACACATGAAAAGGGCCAAGCGAAGAAAAAAACAAAAATAAAGTAAGATAAAATACAATGATGCCATAGGAGAAGAAAATAGACAAAAAAAGTTATGTGGTTGCTAATCCCAGTTAACTGGGAAGCATCAGGAATTGAGCCCGATGCGGGGGTCGAACCTTTGAGGTGATGTTAGCATATGCTGTAACTAATCGCAGAGTAGCGAATATGAACTTACCCGCAACCTTGAGATTAAGAGTCTCACGCTCTACCGATTGAGCTAACCGGGCGCTATTGGTGAAAATCCGCCTTGAATTTACGGCATATATTGCTGCGTGCTGTTGGTGTGCTGAAAAGCCGAAAATGCCATGGCCAATCATGGCTTCAGTTTCGAAGTGGACACCCACCATGTGGACTTCGTGGTCCGAGTTACGGGAAACACCGAAATATTTCAGGCAACGCAGCAAACGTGATGATATTGAAACAAGCAAGGTATCATGGCAAAACACGCGAAAAACACAATGCGCCATTATGGTACTAGGTACAGCATCGCTTGAAGTAAAAGAATAGAAAGGTAAAGTAAAATGAAGCTTACGGTCTGGAGGTATTAAGGGAGACCAAAGAGACTAACTATTGAGCACTGTACGAATTACCAGGTGAAGATTAAAATAGGTATAAATCATAAACGAGACAAATAATAATAGAAAACATTGGAATTTGTGAATAAGAACCCTTATAAATCAAAGAGAAAGACTCCAAATAACATGAAGCAGGAAGAAAAAAATGACCCCTATCGTGACACATCCCGTGTCTTATTCAGGCTTGAGCATCTTGCTATATAATAACCCGTTTTCGTAGTCTCTTACATGTATACTGCAGGAACTTATACGTAAATGTGTGGGAATATATTCCATGCGTTGGAGGTCAGGGATGTCTTATTCGAGATCTTTAATATGTAAACGTTCACCAAACGTAACGCGACTATCAATTCGGTTTTAATCTGAAGTAGCACTAAGTGCTTCGTGATGCAGGCCAGGAACTCAACGACCTAGGAGAACAAGGTATTTATTAAGCCCTCCCAAAGTTCCCCTGGCTGTAATAGCACCTGTTTCATTAACATGTTGGAAGTTATATATATAGCAGGGCTAGGCACGCCAGTTTACTGCCCGGTGTCTAAGTTGTGTGATTGTAATAGCCCTGTACCTAGGTCACTAATACTGTCATCCACAGGGCAAGATAACAATGTGTCGGACGCACAGCTACCTCGGGCAGTACGAGACTATAGAGGGCTATACGCTGCGTTAAGACGGGACAACCTCCTTTCCAACCTCCCTCAACGCTTTCACAAGCCCCTCTACGGTGCTCCTCAGGGTCTGCGTGTTCACTACCACGCGGAAGAGGCTACCCTTTGGACCGGGCGCGTAGTCCACCATGAACCCCCTCGGCACAAGCTTCGCAACCATCTGACTAGTCCGCCGCGTAGTTTCCTCATGGTCGTCGGGTAACACGCCGCCCGGTGCGTAGTAGAAGCACACCTGGAGGCATGGGGGCGGGTTGCTAGACAGGAGGTGAAAGTCGCCCGACTCCTGCACCAGCGTCGCGAGGTACGCTGCGGTGTCGAACGCGTGGTCGACACGCTTCTCGATCCCCTTGTCGCCGTAGTAAATCCACGAAAGAGCCATGTTCAAGGCGTCGCCGCGGCGTCCGCACTGAAGCGTCAGGTCTGCCAGGTCCCAAATCTCGTCCTCGGCGGCCGCGTCGTGGAACAGGTAGCCCGCACGCAGGGTGTTGGCGCGCTGGAAGACGGTAACATCATTAGTGAGGAGGAAGGAGCAGGGTATGGGCACGTTGAGCATTTTGTGGGGGTTGACGGTCAGGGAGTTGGCGTGCTCTGACCCGGCCAGCTTGTGTCGCTGCGCTGCGGAGAAGATAGCCGGTCCGCCCCACGACGCATCGATATGGAGCCAGACGTCAAATTCCTTGCAAATGGGCGCGATCTCGGCGAAGGGGTCGTATGATCCCCAGACCGTTGTTCCGGCGGTTGCGTTGACGTAAAGGGGCGTTTTCCCTTCGGCCTTAGCACGGGCGATAGCTTCGCGGAGCGCTGACGGGACCATCTGGCCGGCTGAGTCGACTGAAACCGTTATTACGCTGTTAGAACCGAGACCGCACGATACAGCCGCCTTCTCAACGGAATAATGACCATGTTCACTAGTGAAGAGCGCGAATTGACGACCTCCGTTGCCAGAAGTTTTGACCTCGGGAAACAGGGTGTTCCGGGCGATTACGAGGGAAGTCAAGTTCGAAGCACTGCCGCCTTGACAAGTGACGCCGCCTGCCCTGGGACCGGCGAAACCGAAGAGATTCGCAAGTCTGCGTGCGGTCGCCTTCTCGATGATGGTCAGGGCTGGTGATGTCTTCCAGACATGCACCTGTACTAGATTAGTGATTGGAAACAGTTAAAGGGTAACAGGACCTACGTTTGTGTTTATTACTGTAAGGACAAGATCTGATACTACGCCAACCTGTTAAGCTGTATGAGTAATTACTCGAGTTCGCAAAATAGGTACTTTCATATGAGCAGCAAAGTGATATCTTACGGGATTGATGCTCGAGTACAACTTGTCCATGAACCCCTGATCCCACGTGTTTACACTGTATCGCAAGATGGTTTGGATGGTATGTAGTAGGCCTTCCCTTCCCGCCCCTTCCTCTGGCATAGCTATGCGCAGCTTCTTTACTAACTCTTCAGGTTTATGTTTGTCTACCAGGACATTTCTACCTGGTGCCCCTTGAGCATCCGCAGCTATATAGCCGCTGGCTCGACTTGAGGCAGCGTTGTCTGCATCCCTGATGAATTGTACGAGGAGAGACTTTACTGCATTGATCAACTATGGATAATTTAGCAACCTAAGGCGTAGTATAAGGGTGAAGTATGGGATACGTTGTGTAAGATATAACTTACATCATCAACTTCATCAGCTCTGTTTAGCTTAGACTCCGTGGCGTGAGTATGAGAAGACATATTGATGACCATGGAATATTTGAAAATTTGGTGCAATAGATTTGAGAGATCCTGGTTTCTCGTAGGCAAACCACAATTAAGTATAAACTCACCTGCGTACTTGAGTACTTGTTTGGTGGTGGTTTCCTGGTGTTAATTCTCTGATATCTAAATCTGCGCTTTTTCGATTGCCCTTTCTGTCAAGATGCCGGAGATGTTGTCCGTAAAAGTAATTGCCGAGGACCCACTGTATACCTGCTGGTTTCGAGCTATTATTCGGCACAATCAATCGCGTGCTCTGATATTTTAATGCAATAATTGGAAAATAGTCTCTATATCATAATAGAGGTAGTCAGCTTCCGAAAAGGAATCCGCATCCCATTTCCCCAGTTGACTGGGTCCCGGTCTTGAGGACGAAGGAAGGGAAAAAAAAAAAAAGAGAGAATTATTGGGTTACATGCAACGGGTATTCTTGCCTCTCTTACTATTAATACTAGACCATCGCAAACTCTTGTTCACAGCATTCCGCCGAAGGAAATGGGTATACTTGGACAAATCCCTTTTTGATAGCCTGCAATATCACGCCGATTTCATCCTAACTCTTACAAACGCCATGATCCCCAGGGCCTCGCCAACTAAACTCAGTTTATGCCGTATAAGTGAACATGTTTTGTGTTTACCCCTGAAGAAAAGATATCATTTAATCCGTCCATCCGATGCATCGTATTCTCGTAACGCCCTTAGTCAACTCGTTTCTTCGTCTCGGCCGCTTCTCCCCCGTTTTGCTCGGTAGTTTTGCCATTGCTCACTCCTATATCGCCTTCACCGTCATCTTCATCCCATGCGTCCACCGCGTTTTCATCCCAGTTGTCGACTTCCTCCTCAAGAGTAGTGGCCCTTTCGTTCCCGGCTGCCGACACAACACCCTCTTCTTGAGCCTCAATATCCTCGCCAAGCTCGAGATCTGTAGGGTCTTCGCCAGGAACAGCGTTGTATTGCCTACGAGAGCGCTTCCTCTCTAACATTCTTAGGTGGTACCAGGAACATAGTCCAAGTCCCGCTAAGCTACCCACAATATTGGCCACGATGTCGTAAGGATCAAACTCTCGTCCGTTGGGGAGAAACCCTTGTACGAATTCGGAGCCGATACCCAGGCCTAAGGTGCATACGACGACGGTGAAATTGAGGGTACGGCGGCGGTTCGTATCGATAATCCAGTAGAAAGCGATGGTTAGGAGGAAAAAAGTCAAGAGGTGTAAGACTTTATCGTTGATAACGGTGTTGAGCTGTAGGGACGAGAGCCCCGCGTAGCCTGCGAGGAGGCATAGCAGGAAAAAGACTCCTACAGAGATGTCCCGTTAGTTTAAAATCTTCGGAGGGGTAATTTTATAAAGCTATTAAGATCCGTAGGGGCTATCACAACAAGTTTGAGGGACTTATAAACTATGGAATACAGCATGTTAGGCCACAAAGAGAAATGCTATGGAACATACCTGCAAAAGGTAGGCGGATGCGCATATTGGAATCTGGATGGGTTTAAACCGGAACGGTATGCATGAGCATGGTTTCACAGAGGGATATCGTCGATTCTAGCGGATTGTAAAGATTTTGTGAGGCTTGACGGAAAAAAAGAATAACATAAAAAAAATGTTGCTAAAGTGGAAGAAGTAGACCTGGTGAGCTTCACTTCGGGTTTCCAGCGACGGAAAGCAGACGGGGTCCACTTCTTTCGTCACCCAGCCCATGGGTTACTGAAAATATTTGGGGTTTGACTGATAGTCTGATATGATACGTCGGACATCGGTTAGGTAAGCGATCTAGGACTTTACGGCTCTTATGTAACCAACCTATCTGCACCTTACTACAGGTAGGTACCTAATGTATTATCTGCAGCTGGCCGCCTGTCCACTGCCTGGGGTCAGCTAGGCTGCTTAGGGACTTGGGATTTTTGATATTCCCCACTAACTTACCTAATCTAACTTAACCTCAGGCTCCAGGTACATGTACCTAACTTATCAGATCACGTTTGGACTCTCCACACTTTTGACATTGGGGTTTCGGAATATGCAGGTCGGGCTGAAGCTGAGTTAGCATTTATACAGGCGTTATTGAAAGGGATATTATAGGGCTCATGTCACTAATTAAGCGCTATATATGATGTCCATTGTGCTGTGGTTAGGTATTAACAATTCTTGAATTGAATGGTACATTTCTTAATAAAACAAAAATGTGGTGGGCGACGGTGACTTTTAGCCATGATATTTAGCACGTGACATTATTGATTAT